ACGGGGCGTGCCTATGGGTGCTGTCCTTTCACGGAAGGTGGTCACCACGGACGCATGTCTGACAGGCTGGGGAGGTGTTTACGAAGGTCGTCCGGTGAGGGGTCTCTGGAGCAGAGACCTCCAGCGGGCGCACATAAATTACCTGGAGCTTTTAGCGGTGTTCCTCACCCTAAAACGCTTTCTGCCTTTTCTCAGAGGACATCATGTCCTCGTGAGTACAGACAACACGACCACAATATCGTATATAAACCGCCAAGGGGGTTTGCGTTCTCTCCAGTTACACATGCTGGCACGCAAACTGATCTTATGGAGCGGCAGACGTCTCCTCTCTCTGAGAGCGACGCACGTACCAGGAGTGATGAACCTCGGGGCGGATCTACTGTCCAGAGGTGCACCACTATATGCAGACTGGACTCTACATCCAAGGATTGTGAGCCAGCTGTGGGTGCGTTACGGCAGAGCCGCCCGCGGTGGATCTGTTCGCATCAAAAGAAAATGCTCAATGTCAGCTATTATTTTCAATGCGCGATTTAAACGCACCGTTAGGCGTGGACGCGCACGTTTGGCCTCCGAGCCTTCTGTACGCGTTCCCACCCCTGGCTCTGATACCCCCAACTCTGGCCAGAGTGAGTGAACAACGCCACACACTTATCCTGATAGCTCCGCACTGGCCCGCAATGTACTGGCTGGCGGAGATATATCAGCTGCTGTGCGGGCAGCCATGGCAGCTCCCACTACGCAGGGACATACTTTCGCGGGGGGGGCGATCTTTCACCCACACCCAGAGCGCTTGGCACTATGGGCCTGGTCCGTGAGTGGTACAATCTGAATACAGTGGGACTCCCTCAGAAGGTGATAAACACTATTCAGAGTGCGAGAGCTTCCTCCACCAGGTCTCTCTATGACTGTAAGTGGAGGGTATTTGAGGAGTGGTGCCTTCAAAAAGGACACATCTCTTTTCAATGTCCTGTCGGGGTGATTTCATCATTTCTACAGGACTTAATTGATAAACACAGAGCTTTCTCTACGATCAAAGTGTACCTGGCTGCTATTGCTGCATGCCATGTGGGCTTTGAGGGAAAGACGGCTAGCCAACATCCTTTGGTCTGCCGTTTTATGAAAGGGGCTCACAGGCTCCTCCCTATTTCCAGGTCACTGGTGCCCTTATGGGACTTGGCAGTGGTTTTAGATGGGCTCACTCTAACCCCATTTGAACCCCTTGAAGAAGCTGACATGAAGCACTTGTCACTCAAGACAGTGCTGTTACTGGCCCTGGCATCCGCCAAGCGAGTCAGTGACATTCATGCGCTATCTGTACATCCTTCATGCACTCAGTTCGCCCCAGGGCAAACGAGAGTGTTGTTGAAGCCCAACCCTGCCTTTATACCTAAGGTGGTTGGTTAATGTACCCCAATTGACATTGAGGCATTTCCTCCGCCGCTGTGTTCCTCCGGGGAACAGCAGCCGGATTTGCTGTGTCCAGTCCGTGCTTTACGCACCTATATGGACAGATCAAAAGAGTTTCGTCATAATGACCAACTCTTTGTGTCCTGGGCTAACCCTCAGAAGGGCAAGCCCGTTACTAAGCAACGGCTCTCCCACTGGATTGTGGAGGGAATTGCTTTGGCCTATACGAGTCAGGGTTTGCAGGCACCTTCGGGTCTGCGTGCTCATTCGACTCGTGGTCTGGCTACATCCTGGGCTTTGTTCAAGGGTGTTTCCATCCAAGACATTTGTGCAGCAGCGAGCTGGTCCTCGCCGCTCACTTTTGTCCGCTTTTACAGGCTAGACGTCTCTGCTCCTAGTGTGGCCCGAGCAGTGCTGGGCACCTTGTTGAGTCAGAGCTCTACCTGTTAAGTTCTGGTTGGTTTGGTGAATTTCGAGATAAGCTCGTCTGGCAATACGGGAGCTACAATATCCATAGTGAGTCATCGAACGGAGTGTTATGAATGAGAACTATAGGTTACTTACGCAACCCCAGTTCTCAGAGTAACATGTAGTGAGATGTCTCACCAGACGGCCCTCCTTGCTATGGTGAAGCGAGAAGAGGTGCTTATTTTGAATGACGCATGCGACGTAGCGCAAGCTACTTATAGGGGGTGGATTCCCTGACGTTGACGTCAAGATCACCAGCCAATCAGGATTGGCGTAATGAGATTGATGCTTCTGTTTGCTCCGCGATGAGGCACATCCCATAGTGAGACATCTCACTACATGTTACTCTGAGAACTGGGGTTACGTAAGTAACCTATAGATTTCTCGCGCCCAAGGCGACCAACAACCAATCAGGAATCTCCCGTCCGCCCCCGGCATACAAAGCAATAGCAATATTAAAACGAAGTAAACTGGATATAAAATCCCCAAACAGGCGAAAACCTACCAGTTTCACCCACTGTCTCTGCCACCTCCCTCCATGCCTCGCTCCTCCGGTTTGTATCCCGGTAGATGAACAGAGACTGATCATACAGCACCGGGTGATTCACTACCGCTATAATGAATTTTCCCTCCATTTTTTTGAATATGAGGAAATGACCTGCGTAGTCTCTCCCAGCATACACGCGGTTTGATTGGCTAGCGCTTGTACTGTCAGATTTGCATACGCGGGATTTGATTGGCTGATGCCAAGCATCGAGTCTCAAAAGTTGAACATTGTTCAACTTTTGATGCCGATAGATGCTCGTGATGCTTGCAAAGCCATGCCATGCTCCCCACAATGCAGTTTGGCGAAGTTTAAAAATCTTCTACGTCACCCCATTCAAATGAATGGGCGAAGCGTTGAAAGCATTTTTCGATGCCTGTAGTGTAGACGGGCCGTTATATGTTTCATTAGAATCATTACCCTCTCTCTCCTGGGAATTAAGCACCCCAGCGCAGCAGCAGCCAACCGCTGACCGTTGCTACCCCGAAAAATATGGCAGCACATTTCAGCCAATCAGCGTCCTCAGATCTGTTAAATGAAAGGCGCTCTATAATCCGTTCCAAAGTTATTATTAAAAATAAAAAATAGTGTTTTTTATCCAAGAAAGTGTCGTCCATTGGAAACAGTAATTAGTAAAAATATACTTATATTCTTCAGAAAGATGATATCAAAAAAGCAGGCCTCCATAGTTCATTATCCTTCAGGTACAGCTCTCAGTTTCAAAAGGTTTGCAGACCCCTGGTATAAAATATGCCCCCATCCCCCCCATCTTCCACAGCCCCACCTAAAATATTTTTCACCAGCTGCCACTAATATATAGTTTAAATCACCTGGCTACATAGGTATTATCAGCTAAGTATCATAAGTATACTAATGGGTGTAGCATGACCATATGTTATATTTTCCTATACAGACTATCATTACCAACATATTGTCATGTAAGCAGACAATGTGACTCACATACAAGTGTTGATGTACATATATACATATATATATATATATATATATATTAGGGTTGTCAAGTTAACGCGTTAATAACGCAAAAAAAATTACGCCACTAATTATTTTAACGCGATTAACTCATGTGTATTTTTTTTCCTCGGCCGCCCCGTAGTTTCAGAGCGCATCGAGTTTAAAATACCATCTATAAGCTGATGCTGACAGCCCATGGATGTATAATAAGAACTGGATACAGCGTGGGAGGCGGGGCCTCATTCATTCCTATGAGAGTTGCTCATTAGCGCATGATAACAAAATGGCCCAACTTTTGAGAGAGCGAAACGTCACAGATTACCCGGCATGCCTGAGAAGTACCCGTAAGTGCACTCATAGAGCATGCGCAACTTTAACCACGCCGCCCAAAAGGCTCGTTCACATTAAGCACGTGAATTTGCGTACACGTAACAGCACCGCGCGTTCATGACAGCATGGTACTGGATTTATATTAACGAGGCGGCAGTTAGCAGCTAGCGGCTAGCTAGTAAATTATGCTAAGTTACACATCAATCGTTATGTAGGCCTACTTTTATATTACGCTGACATCAGGATCTAGTGATATCCAAGCAACAGAGCTTAATTTAGCATGATACTTGTGTGGGTTGTACATGAAACCACTTGGTAATATATACAAATGTATATGTTGAAGCCTGTTATGATCAATTGTGAGTTAAAACGTTATCTAAAAAGTAAAGCTGATGATGGATTACTGTGGTGGAGTTAAAATAACAATAGCCTATTTCTTTTTGAAATGTGATGGAGTAAAAGGATAGTAACTGTGATTATTCATGTTAAGTAGCCCACAAGTAACTAAAACAATTGCAAGTGCAATAAGAAGCTACAGGAACGTTAATCTACGTCGATAAAATTAACTTTATTTAATACAACATGTACGGTACAAGATTTACATCATACAGCCCATATAGTATAATATTTTACAAATGATGAATTACAGCAAACATGTGCAATATATCCATTATTACAGCTCCGTGGGCTGGCAGTAAGGCGATATGGTCCGTTGTTATTGCGCATCCATAGGTAAAGAGAAACATGAACATGAACGTGCCGGGCGGCGCGGTCCCGTGGGTTAGATGCACGTTCATAATGCCGAGGGAAATAACTCTCAGAATAACGTTATTAGCAAATTTTTACAACTTGAGGACCGAATGTTTTTAATAAGGGCTATACAAACGTTCATACTGGGTAGTTTATTTAGTTTAAATAAAATTATCCAACGAGTTACAGACCACCCTTCCAATGTAAGTCAATGGGAAAAAGTGTTTCCGGGCCCAGCAACCTAAAGGAAGTGTAGTACCGCCGTTTGACCAGCACGAATATTCTCATCAGACTCCGGCGCACTTCCTGGGGGCTTGTGACAGCCCCGCTCCTGCCGCCCGCTTGTGGCAGACCACACTTCCACGCTCACCGGCAGGCACCGACTGGCTATTGGGAGGACCGGGAGGGTGTGTGTATGTGTGGCCCGAGCGAGAGAGAGAGAGACCTTACGTGCATTGTTTAGACCAGGGGTGCCCAACCTTTATTGAACCGAGAGCTACTTCTAAAGTTGCCAGTCTGCCGAGATCTACCAGTCCAAATAGAGAGGCGTAGCCATTACTGACAGCCTACTACCAGGTACATACACACTTCTACTTGTATAAAACTGACCTTTGTACAATTAATACTTCATCAAATACTGCAGATCCTTTATCTTACCTATTTCTAATCTACACACATACAAGTATTTAACTGAAGTTACACAACAGTGTTGTTGATACAGAGTTGGAGTTTATCCACACGTCACACTACAGTGGGTAATGTTTTCAAGAAACATTGAACAGTGCTGCCACATATGACACAGGAAGAAAAGAAAATACTCTGAACCCTTTCTTTGCCATTATATAAAAAATAGTGTTGCTACAAAAGTATAAATTACGCTTACTAATAAGACAACTCAGATCTGAAGCTACACAGGAATCTGCTGCCAAAGTGCAATAAAAAAGACAAAATGTATAGAATCAAACCCTTTTTTTGTTGCATTTTAGTAGAGTATAAAAATAAATGCCTTTAAAAATAGGATGCTAGCAACACTAGTTTCTTAACATGAATTGATAATAGACTATAATCAATTTAAACAGAACAGATCTTAATGTTTGCAATCTTATACCATTTTGTACAATAATTATAATGAATAAGTTCAAACAAACTAAAACTTACAGCTGATTAATAACGGTATCTAACTTGAGTTTTTATTATGTCAAAAACCTGTTGAAATGCTAGTTATTTTTACTGTCCCCCAAAAGCGCGTCTGCAGCCTCCAGGAAAGCTTCTTTCACAACTTCGCCGTCTTTGAAAGACTTCATGTGTTTCGCAAGAACGTGACTGACACGATAAGATGCTCTGGTAGCGGCCTTGCTCTTGTTGTTGGGCTGGTGAAAATGGACTGCTGTGCATTTAGCTGTCCTTTCAGGCCCCTCCCCTTTTGGGAGCGTAGGGCAGATTTAGGAGAGAATTCCGTCTCCCAGCGTTTGTGCACTGTTTTGAAATGCCGCTCCTAAATTACCCTTCTTCGCTAAAGCCATGCTCGCATTGCAGATGAGAGACAGATGGACTTTGAATTGGAATAGATACACAAATCATCCTCCCACTCGGAGTGAAAATGATATATTTTTGGCTTTTTTGCTTCTGCCATAATTGCGGTCTTGTGTGTGTGCGGACTGTCACTCCTGTTGACACGGACAACATCAGCGAACTAGTGCACTGCCCACCAGCCACGCCCCGACATGGGGTCACGCCGGCCAATCACAAAGCTTTGATGCGTTCAGGTGCATTTTTCTGGCACAGGAAGATTATGTTATAGGACATTAACGATAAAACCGAATATTGTTGTTCTATTTTTAGACACATCTCGCGATCGACTGGGAATCTCCCCGCGATCGACCGGTCGATCGCGATCGACTGGTTGGGCACCCCTGGTTTAGACCCTCCAGAAAAACGCGGGCAAAAATCCTTGATTATGCGATTAAACATGCAGCGTTTTATGTGATTTTATGCGGTGAAATTGCGGTTAGTTGCGTAAAAACGTCTTTTAAAACTACAACTCCCAGTAGAGACGTGCCATAGATACAGAACATGTTGCGAAACAGAATAGCCAGCATTTGTAGTTCTGGGGACAGGGTGGGGGAGGGGGGGACGCGGTGGACCCGTTCAAATCCAGTTTTGGACAGTCTGACGTGGTTCCATCCCATTTCAAGTGCTGTTCGAGGCTCGGCGTAACCCTCGGAGCACACTCTCCAATCACAGAGCTTGAGGACTATCACGGGGTTTGTCAAACAGAGCACATGGTGTAGTCCAAACGATAGCTGGGGATTCTGGGTAGTGTAGTGTCTTCTGCCATCCTTTACTCCGAAAACATATTTGTTTCTCCGAATCGAAGGGGAAAAATACAAAAGCATTGCACACAATTTAAACCAATCAATGTTGTGTCATTAATAAGGATAATCTGGTGTTTTTTAGTCGATGAGTAGTGCAGATAACACTGTAAAATCAATCGACAGTAAGGGGAATACTTACTTCCGGGTGTACAATTCTCCGTTATCCAATGAGAATGGACGCTCACATTGCCTTTAAGGGCAGCCGACACAAACGAATGCCGTGCTTCCATGAGCGTCCATAGAAGCATATGGACATCCCGGAAAGCTGAACATGGACGCTAAGGGCCCCCCCCTTGCGTTGAAAATGGACGCTAAGGCCCCCCCCCTTGCGTTGGAAAAAGCCGACAGGGGACTTGACATAACGTCAACATAGGCCGACCTGGGAGTGAGGATGTGTTTCCCTGACATACAACCAGGGTTGGGAGGGTTACTTTGTAAATGTAATCAGTTACTGATTACTGATTACATGGCTCTGAAAGTAATCCGAAAACAGTTACAGTTACGTGTCTTAAAAAAGTAACGTAATCAGATTACTTTTAGATTACTTTTGGATTACTTTATTTTTCCATCACAGATGGGTATGTTTTGGTGTACAGGAGACACAAAAAGCAAAAGGAATGTGTTTTTACTGTTTTAATGGCTTATCAAGAGCACAACTGAAACACAACATCTGAAACGATGTAACAACATAATTAACTTTTTGGGGATGCAGTTTGGGATGTGAGGAGTGAGGGACACGGCTTAGAACGAGCGTGTCGCCTCCTGTCCTGCCAGTGTTGGCAGGACATGAATTAAAATGTCAAACTCGGACTTCATTTTAAGGACATTACAGCCAGGGGTGTAGAGCTATATTTGTTTAAGCACCGGATTGGCAAAACAGGAGAGTGTGTGCACCAGTCTGCCTTGATCTATGAATTCATGTCCGTGACTCTCACAGTATCTGCTGCCCACAGCTGTTTTATAGAAGGAACACCTCCTTCACTTCATGAAATCTCTGCAGCACCAGGAGGCAGCGGGAGGGTTAACTCAGCCTCTGAGAAGACGAGCACGCAGTGCCTTTCACGCACCGCCTTCACCGTGTTTACCTTCAGAAATAATCATTAGTAAGGCTAAAGAAAGAGCGACCGCAGGCTGATGTGTTTTAACCACACACACGCGATTTAAACGCAGACTTGTGTTCCTCAATGTTTCGTTGTTATTGTTTTACTGAGCGGACCCGCGATTTTTTTTCAAACGCTTTTTTGGTCCATCTGCGGCGGTAATAGGTTTTGTGGGCTGTGATGATTCGGCTGTATACCTTTAGTAATGAATATTAAATGTTGTGAGGAAATCTTTCCACCAATAATTCCAATAAGTAATCCAAAATGTATTCACTTCAGGTTTATGAAAGTAACTGTAATCAGATTACTCGTTTTTCAAATGTAACGCGAGCTGAATACAGTTACTTGATTTTTGTATTCTGATTACGTAACGCCGTTACATGTATTCCGTTACAACCCAACCCTGCATACAACATATAAGAACATGACATTTGTAAACATAGCAACAAATAAATACATGATATGAGAAAGAGCAAGAGCAGCACACACAAGCATTTACCACATGGCAGTACACTATAGCAGCAACAACATATTAAGTGCAAGAGATGATACAAGAGATGCACAAAGTGCAAGAGGAGATACCCCTGTGTTAAAGTGCAGTTAGCGGTGATCGCACGTCTGTTTGTTTCTCAACCATTCTTTGAGTTAACCTTTAAAACTATTGAGAGTGGGACAATCCCGTATCTCACTTGGGAGGCTATTCCAACATATTAACAACTATTGGATTGATTGCCATGAACCTTTAGGTCCCCGGACGAATCCAATTTCCAATTGTTGAATCCCAGCTTTTTTTTCTGTTTTAAGTTAAATGTCTCTACAATTGCTGGTTGTAATGCATTTTTTTTACAGATATCCATATATCCCTCAAAGTAAATCAAAACCTGAAAATGTTTGTAGTTTTCCTTACGCACCATCTGGCACCTTATGTAAAAATAACCTAAAAACTTGTGACATTCCCATCAGCCCTACATACATATACTTTGTTTAGGGCTAGTTAGCTCATGTTAGCATGCCAATACACCAAACTGAGATGATAAATTCTACCCCCTGTAATTTGGCTGTAGACTTCTTATCTTTATTCAATGAGATATTGCTAATAATCACTGTATTTGTAGGTCTTCCTAGGATGATTTCCTCAATGCAGCAGCTCACTGAGCAACACTCAGACCGTTGTATGTTTTGTTACTTGTTTACATCTGCTATGTCTTTAAATCAGCTTTGTGTTGTCATTTTTTAAACTGTTTATTTCATGAACACACTCAATTAAAGAGAGAAAACCAGAAGAGGAAGGAAGATCTACGGCTCACACTTCAACTGCTGGACCAAGTTTGCAGGTACATGATAGGTTGTTGTGTGATCACATGAATTACAGCTATTATATATTGTTATTAGTATTGTTCTTGGTTATAAATCAAGTAGATGATTATTGATTTAACTGTTCACTAATTGATGGAAGTGCAATCATTGCCTAAACATAATTGTTTAAACATCCAAATTAGAACTCATAACATTTAATTATATTTCCCTATATTTATATTTATTTTTGCCATGGCATTGTTTCTTGTTAACCATTTTAGTCCACGTTAAGGCGTTAAGGCCATGTTGCTCCGGCTTCTCATTCTTTGCCTGATTTTCTGTCTGTGTGTGTACCTGTCTATCTGTATGTCTATGTATCATCTCTGTAGTTTCTTATTAGTAACAAAGATTATTGTGTGTTTTTTTTTTTTTAAATAAGCAGTCTTCCACAACACATCTGCCTTTGGAGGATGGTGTGATTTCCACCGATGCTGTCTGTCTGGTAAGTTTCATATTGTCTAATAGGTATACCATCAAGTATGTTGATTTGGATGATTTTAATTGTTGTCTTAGAAACACAATAGTGCTATTTCAAATCATGTCCTGATAATATGACACAGTGTGTTACTTATTTTATGTTCTTAGGATATTAAACAAGCCATAAAAGATCGGTGCAACAAGGCCACAGCAGCTAAGTACACCAACGACCTAATGCATGGTCTGTACACAACAGCGTTTATGGCTGCTCACAGCGTGACTGGGCTTGGGGCATCAAGCAGGGGGGAGACACGACCATCCCTTCCTTCTGCTGAACTCACGAAGATTGTTTGTAAGTAATTAGTGTGGCCGCGAGCTGTTTTGTGCCATCATGACGCACATGGTGTTATTTTTTTATATATTACAGGGTTGCCAACTTTGGGTACCTGGCTGGAGTGAGATTTTGATATCATGGGTTTAATTACACACTGCGCACTAAATGACTGCTATCGTGTCAGCAGCGGGACCTTAGCATATATATATATATAGGATATATATACAATATATACAAATACACAATATTGGACACAAACTATAAAGGGCACAACTTTTCATTTACTAATGAAAGTCAAACACATGTTTGTTTCCACTGTTTTATTGTGTGCCTGTCGCGATAAGCAATTAATTGACTTATCGTACGATAAATAAAATGAACTCGATACATTTCCATTTACATGAGGATGTGACTAGCAGTTTGAAAGGATGTACTTGAATTATTATTATATATTATTATTATGTCAGTGGTCTAAAATGGTCATACAACGGTGCCGACAATATTATCGTTTATCGCAATAATTTCCGGGAAAATGTATCCAACAAAATTAATTATCGTGAGAGGCCTATACATGAAACACACACACACAAACAAAGCTACAGACTTACTCTAAACTGCCAAATATATTAACACACTCTCACTCTCATATACTCTTTGACTCTATTTTGGCCTAGTAGAACAATAAGCACCAGACTTTTACTTTTTATCATTTCTACTGGATCTTAGATCTGCGCATGCGCAATACGGGTCTGGGATTGACCTACCGGCTCCCACTGCTCTGCTGTCTGTTAACGTTGTTAAGAGTGTTGGGGGTGGGGAGGGAGCACAGACTGGACGGCTGGTGAACAGCTGTTAGAACAGTTCAGGTGTTCAGAGCAGAGCTCCCTGTCGGAGCGGCAGAGCGTGATGTGAACTGAAAAATGTTTCTGTCGCAATATTATTTAAATAATTGTTGAGCTAGCTAACTAACATTGTCACTATCTGCTAACGTTAGTACTCAGATCTTGTGCTTGAGTAAAAGTAGAAGTACTCAGATATTGTACTTGAGTAAGTAGAAGTACCAGAGTGTCAGAATACTCTGTTACAGTCAAAGTCCTGCATTCAAAATGTTCCTCAAGTAAAAGTAGAAAAGTATTCTCATCAAAATATAGTGAAAGTAGCGACAGTAAAAGTAGTCATTGTGCAGATTGGTCAATTTCAGAATAATATATATGATATGTTTTATAATGATTGATCATTAAAGTGTTCTCAAAGCTGGTAAAGGTGCAGCTAGTTTGAATGACTTTGTATACTGCAGGGTAGCTTGTGGATTTACTCCAGGTGGAACTAAAGTCTGATTCAACACTTGGTTATATTTCACATCATTCATCCACATCTGTAAAGTAACTAAAGGTATTAAATACATGGAGTAAAAGTACACCATTTACCTCTGAACTGTAGTGGAGTAGAAGTACAAAGTAGCAAAACATTGAAATACTTAAGTAAAGTACAAGTATCTCAAAATTGTACCCAAGTATAGTACTTGAGTTTATGAACTTAGTTACTTTACACCAGTGGCTATAAAAGATAGAAAGACTAAGCCTTGCACAGAGGCATGACAATATATTTTGAAAATGCTCAACAGTGTTGCCAAAATTATAAACTGACTGCTGCAATTAAAAGAAATGCTTTTATATATTTCTATTAGATGTGACTCTTTGGCGTTTCTGTTATTATTACCTGCTGCTTTAGTTGTTCTGACTGCTAAAATCATCTGTTATTCCTAAATTTAAAGCCGATTTTCCGTGGGGTGGGGTGGTCGGGGGGCTCGGATCCTTGTCACCTTTTTCATACATGAGTTTGCATCCCTGCTGTCTACCTGACTGTCTGTCTGTTTTTGTAATTTGTCTCTTCATCTGTTAATTCCCCTTTTCTTTATTTCTTTCTCTCTTTAGGTGAAGTTAAATCTTTCTTCAAAGAGAAGACAGAGGCGGAGATCAAGGGCTACATACGCCAGAAACTCTCCAATTCGGCGAAGATCCTCAAAAGGAAAACATTTGAAAAAATCAATTTGTTCGGCCACGTTAGGCCATTATGTTTGTTTGCATTCAATATTGTATGTTCTGTAGTTTAAATAAAAAATGTTAATAAATGTTAATACATGTTGAGTCCATGTATTATTTGTATTTGCCTCAGTCCATTATTTGTATTTGATATAGCCTACCATTGTACATTCTACAGTATCTACAGTTTGGTACAGGTGTGACACAAATACAAGAACATATGTATTTACCATGGTAATTGTTATGGTGTCAGGGGTAGTGGGATATCAAGCCCTCCAACAGCTATATGAAATGTTACCATAGTACTCGTACCATAGTACCATGGTATATTTACCACGGTACATGTACCACAGTATTTTTTGACAGATACTGTAGTACCATGGTATATTTTATAGTACCATGGTATTTGTTCCATAGCACATATAGTAATGTACCATATACATACCATGGTACATACCATGGTTTGTACCATTGTACAATCTGTCAAAAATACCATGGTACATGTACCATGGTAAATATACCATGGTACTATGGTACAAGTACTATGGTAAACATTTCTTATGGGACACGGAGTGCATATTAATACTATGTGATCCAGCCATTTAACCGGCACCTTGCAAAGACTTATCCAAGGATATAGGCTCCTACTTACACGTCAAAAGTTGTTTTATTGAACATTCAGCACTTCATCAGTGATGTTCACTTTAAGATTTATGGATGAATTTATGGCGTTGAGGTAGTTGATCCCTGGGAGGTGTTTCAAGTCAAAGTCTCTTTTCCCACAGGGAGGTAGACTGAGTCTCTTGTGTCTCAAGCTCTACTGGAGGAAGACACAGTGAGAGCTTTCAATCCATGCAGAGGTCTTCTTCCTATCCTCAACAATTTCTGCCCCGGTTCGATCAATTTGCCTCTAAATGGAAATAATAACTCAGCAGAGGTTTGAGAAAGTACTAAACTTGTGAATGGTTGAACTGGGTTAACTGTCTTAATGTGTTCGGGAAAAAAATCCTCAATATCTGTTATTTTAGTCTTTTCACAGTTCTTATTTTGATTGTTTTGGACTCTTTTCTGGGATGTGATAAATATTTGTATTTGTGAATATTAAAATGGGTTTCTATGCTCCTTCTCTCTTGATTGACTATTCATACAGTTATGGTGGCCATAAAGTCAGGAGCATACTGTACGAACAACAATGACTAATCACTTGAACTGGCATTCAATATCGAATAACAATACATAAACTCCAGTAAATGGTGAAAATAATTATAAGGGCTTGTTCTGCCAGATTGATATGCTCAGAAGCACTTTGTTTTCACACTTTGGCCAACAAATAATACAAACTAACTAACACTTTTGTATCTCGGATGAATGAACAACGTGTTGTCTAAATGTGCTGCGACTTTATTAATAGAAATGTCATTAATGCTTTTACGATTCATTGCTATTCATGAGCATAACATGTTATAAGGTCATCTCAGTAAAAGGGCTCCAGACTCTGAAGAGGCTACTTCAAAGATGGACTTAAAAGAGCAATGGTCTGCCCAGGCTTCACTGTTTGAGTAGAAAATCACATGTGCTTGCATTAATAAGAGAGTTGCTAATTAATCGTCATGTGCTTTAGTGCTACACACCTGGTTTTTATATATCTTGCATGGTTGTGATCCAATCACAGTAACATACCTCACAGTTTGCAAGGTGTTTAAAAATGGACTCTGTGGTAGTTTATAAAACCGTCTTTTTTGCCACCATGATAACAAGCAAACAGACTCAAAAGCTGAAAAACGTGTTCAATGTTGATGTGTGGCTGGTGTGCTTAAGAGTGGCACAGGATGTCCGTGGTCAGCAGCTCACAGCTAGTTAGCTGGGCATTTTTGTGTGTGAGTGGCACTTTCTCCCTGTGTCAGTGTGGGTTTCCTCACACAGTTCAAAAACACAAAGGTTGTAAGCCCTGGCAGCGGAAGCGATTCTGAAAGTTCTTGTTGGACTATACTCAGTGGCGGTTCTAGAGCAATTTGACTGAGGGGGGCCAGGCTGGGGCCAGTTATTTTCTGAGAGGACATGCAGGACATGCAGGACGAAAAAGACAATATGAAGTGCGCATAAGAAAACAATTCAATACAGTTATTGGTATTTGTTTCAGTACACATATTTATTTCAGATACTTATAGTTATAGTTTTTACGCTCTAATGGGTCCGACTAGAATGACAAATAACGTTAGTTCTGCCTATTCCATCAGCCAATAAATCGTTTAACCTGTTAATCACTGAGCCTGTTTTTCAGGTCTCAGGCTCAAAAATGACATTCCCAGAACAAATGACCATATCTTCCCTTCTAAAAGGGTTAAATTAATAATCTTTTTTCTCAAAGTAATGATAAACCTGTGAGTTGGATGTAGAAAAGTCAGAATCAATATAGATGTTTTTTATTTAAAAAAAAATTCAAATTGAACATAGTAAAAAAACTGTAAATGATAGTGTTCGTCCAAAGATTATTTTTTACTAATAGTAAAAACTACCCTTGGATAAAGGTAAGGTAGACTAAAAGCTTTAGGAATCCAAAGTACAACATATAATAAGTACCCTGTATCAAGATTGATGCAAAACAAGTGGCATTTGACCTTTTTAGAGAGGTTTAGCAAAAAAAAACACTTCTGTCATTTGGGTGGATTTTCCATATCTCTGGTCCCCCTTGACATCTCTCTCTAACCGTCAGAGCCAATGGAGTCGAGGAAAAGTTCCCCATACGCACACAGCTTACCAGAGGTGTGGACTTGAGTCACATGACTTGGACTCGAGTCAGACTCGAGTCACAAATTTGATGACTTGAGACTCGACTTGACAAAATCACAAAACACTTGCGACTCGACTTGGACTTGAACACCAATGACTCGGGACTTGACTTGGACTTGAGCCTTCTGACTTGAGGTGACTTGATCATTTAATTCAGAGGTCTCCAACACGCCGATCGCGAGCTGCTGCTAGAAGAGAAGACTCCCGTCGGGGAGAGCAGAATCTTCAGCCGCTCCTACTCTTGCTGAGAATCCTTGCAGGCAGGGGCGGGTCTTTATTTAGCTGGGCCACCATGCGGCCAATCATATGCGAGGACACACTAGGATCATACCATTATGTGAAAGAAGGGTGGGGGGCACAGCATGTGTAGTGATACAGGCCAGCTGCACAGAGCAACGGGGAGACGGGGAGCCGGATTTAAATGCAAGCGCGTCGGAAAAAGTCAAGAAATGAGCGAAAACCGAAAAAAGAAGCAGCATCTGGCTGCTTTTCAATGATATTGGAAAAAGCAAAGCTGAGTGCAGGATTTGTAAAATGAAAATAACCTTCAGAGCAGGGTTTTTTTTTGGTAACCACTCAGGATTTATTGTCAGAGGTGGGAGAAGTTCAGACAATTAAAAAAGTTACAATTCCATCGGGGTCTTAACAAGTCTTAAAAAGTCTTACATTTGATAATCTGAATTTATGGCCTTAAAAAGGTCTTAAATATGATTTAGAAGGTCTTAAAAATTATCGGATTTGAAAGGTACTTCTGTGTTGCGATAGCGTCTAATTGTGTTTTGGGGGAAATGTCCGGGCTGCAAAGTAACCAGTACGGTAATAGCCTTTCAGTTCCCCCCAACAATTTGTATTGAATTAAATCAACATGGAACCAGTAATCACTAACTTTGTTTCCCCCGGCCCCTTATTGGAGAACACCCAGCTAGTAACCTAGCAACCAAGCTTCAGCTCATGTAGCCTACAGTATCTTCGAATCTACTTACAAATGAATATGGGGAAGTGTAAGTTCAACCGTATTTGGTTGGAAAACATCTAATTTAGTGCTTAGTTGAAACCAGTGGAGGGGAACGTGTTTGAAGCCCGCTGCACCTTTTGCAAAATAAATTAGCGTTCTCATTCATAACACTCCGTTCGATGTCTCACTATGGGATGCGCCTCATCGCGGAGCAAACAGAAGCATCAATCTCATTACGCCAATCCTGATTGGCTGGTGATCTTGACGTCAGCGTCAGGGAATTCACCCCCTATAAGTAGCTTGCGCCACGACGCATGCGCCATTCAAACACCTCTTCTCGCTTCAGAGCACATCTCTATGGTAGCCGGACAAGCTTAACGGTCCACAGACTGAACCCAAATAACCATTTCGGTCGACGGGCGCTCGCCGGCTACTCCTTCTGCTTCGCAGGAAGACGGTAATACTAACGCCAGTTAGTATTGAAATCGACCTCGCCGTTCTCTTTCCCCAGAAAGTAAGGTAGGTCTGATTTTTTCAAGCTAGCGTTAGCTCGCTCCCTCACTATCGACACCACGGTAGCGAGGAAGCTCTTTTCTTTTCTCCTCCCCACGGAGGAGGAAAGGAATAAAGGAGCATACTGTCACACCAGTCAGTATTCTCCGGGAATAAAAGACCCACACCGTCCTTTTCTCCGGATTAAGGACAGGGTGGTAACACCTTTTTTTCTCCCAACCTACCTGTTGAGAGCGGGTCCTCTCCACGCCACGAGGCGAACAAGATGGACGCCTCTCTCCCTCACACCAGAGGAGTCAGGGACTCGGTGGCTCGACTCTGTGGCTGCGGGTTGAAGATCTCGGGCACAGACACACACCAGGTCTGCTCGTCCTGCCTCGGGCTGGAACACGCCCGAGGCGCTATCGACAACCCCGGCTCGTGCGGACATTGTGTCCGCTTCACCGTGAAGAGCCTCCGCCGACGGCTAGCACGCCAAGCTAGCCTGTCGGAGCAGGACCCCCCCATGTCCACTGACCTGCCGGCCAGCAGTCAAGACGCGGGGGCATCCGCCACAGAGAGTGAACCCCTCTCCGTGTCGGTCTGGGGCTCATTATCTGCAATGGCTGCAGAACCGGAATCCCGCGCCCTGGCAGGCCGGGACCCGGTGACGGCAAGACACGCGGGAACGGGACCCCACGCTTTACCGAGCTGGGGCTCCCGGTTAGACCTCACCATGGTCTCACCTGCGGAGGATGTCCTTGAGCTGGACTACGAT